TTATTCTTATGTTTGAACAACTTCTATATGGTGTATGTGAAGTGTTTGGATGGTTTGTTTGGAGAAAACTTTCAAGGTATGAGATTCAAAGATTTGAACTTCAAAGCTCAAAAATGGAGGTTTTATGGAAAAATCTGGTTTTTTTGACAGCAAAAATGATTTTGAGTGTTAGTTTCTCCTTCTACTTTTTTCTGGCCTCTTTCTCTTGTGATTGGTCTCTCTATTTATAAAGAAGGTTTGAGAGTTGAACAAACTCATATTTTGGATCACATGTTGTGACTAGGTTAGATTGTACATGAAGCAAGCGTGAAGAACATGTTTCCAATGCTTGTACCAAGCTATCTAAAGTGGTTGATCACTTCAAACATATTTGTTCTGACTTGTAGAAGTCGAGTCTAATTATAACAACAAGTTAGAGGTTCAAGAAATTGACTTTATAATTAAAGTGAACTTTGCAAGAATGGCAATGGTGCCTTTGTGCCAAAAATGGAAAGATCACTTGGACAATGCTTAAACCAAATGGACCATAGCTTAAAAGTTTGTGTAAGCATTAAATTATGGTAAGATTTTAAAGTCATAAGGCCTTCAAAGTAAGATTATGCAGCACATCATGCTAATTGGATTATGTGTTCTTCAACAAAAATGGCTTGTAATTCAAGAATGAATGCCCAACTTCAGGCCCTTGAATCTCCTAGCTCAAATATGATAAATTCAAGATCTTGAATGTTTTGGAAAGCTTGAAACACCCTCTATAAGTTTCATATTTGCCATTTTGACAAAATCATCTTATAACTATGTGAAAAAATGCCAAGAAGTTGGGATAAAATCCTGACCAAAACTGCTGAAAATTTCTCTAAGTGTTTATTCAAAAATGCCATGACTTCATGAATTTATAACTTAAAATCCAAGTATTTATAGGAGAAGTTGTGTAAAGCAATATTGTAGATCTCATGGATATCTACAACTTTCATGTTGAAAGTTTCTTTTGAATCATCTTGCATCATGGTGAAAAATTGGCTCAAAGTTGTAAAAAAACATGAAGTTTTCAATACTTAGAAAAATTTCTAAGTTTGAAAACTTTGACTTTTCAAAATGAAATCTTGGATTTTTGATTTCTTGATGAACAAGTTTCATATTTTGACATGTTTTGATGAATTATGATTTTTGACACTTGATTTTGACTAAAAAGTCAAAGTTTGACTTTTCAGTGTACAGCAGACTTTTGATCAATTGACTGAAAATCCACTATCAATCCAATTAATCTTGAGCAATATTTTGAGTCATGCCATTAAGTAAAAATGGTGCAATTGAAATTTTGAGGTCATGCTTCAAACCAATTGACCAATTGCTAAGTCAAAAATCAAAAATTGCCCTTTCTCAGTCAAAACCCTAATTTTGACCATTCTGCCCTTTTGATGATTTGATCAAATTTCTTGAGGAATTATGGTCCAAACTTGACCAAATGATATATATGAGTTTATAATATTGATGTGGATAAAAAATTATGAAGTTTGGATGTAAATTGGCCATAGTTGACTTTTTCCCCAATACAACTTATTTTTAAGTCAACTGCTCAATTGACTGAGCAAAAATGTGATCTGAGGCTTGAAACTTGACATGAGTAATTTTGGGGGTACATAATGATCCATGAAAGTCATATGAAGCATTTAGAGTCCAATTATCCTTGTTCAATATCAAACCCTAATTTGGGTCATCAGTGCTTAAGGAGGTGTCTTGAGCTGATCAACCCTAGTGCAGTCTTGAACCAAGAGAGATCTTTGTGAGAAAAATATTTGATAAATGAGAGAGAAAATTTTGGGGTACAACAGAATTATTTCAGAGTTTCTGTGAATACTTTTGCCATCTCTTATTCCTTCCTAGAAGGATTGACTTGGGAGGCAACCAAAGTTTTAACCAAAGCAGATAGATATTCCATATCAGCCTTCAAAGTAGTTACCTCTTTACGGAGTTCAAAGATCTCTTGCTTAATGTTTTCCGTCTTCCCTTAGCACGAGTGTTGTACTGATGAGACAACTTGTTTCTGAAGACCAAAGGACCTTGAGTAAGGCTTCTGGGAAACTCATGAAATGCATAATTAAATGTACATGGTGCATGACATGCAATACAAATGCCCTATCCTTATTTCCAAAAGTCTATACACTCTGATTCCCGTTATTAAGCCACAATATTATTATATATTTTTTCATGTATTTATTATATATCATTTTTTTATGTTTATTTTTTGTCTTAACAATTGGAATCAAGGAAGTAATGTTTGGAAACAAAAAACATGTATGCTGATAATTATATTAACAAGCTATGTATGCAAACATATGGGATCAAAGATTCTGCGGTACTGAATAGTTGCTGAACTGATAATAGAACCACTGTCACGTGTAATAAGATCAAAAGTCTGGACCAATTCAGAATTCCAAGAACCAAAGTCACCAGCGGAACATATATATAGTCACCATCTGTACCTGTAAATATTATTCCCTCCTCACTCACGGGTAAAGACTAGGTCAGGGTAGGTCAAAGGTAACTCAAAATCACGGGTCCGCCTGAAAATACTACCGCCTTACCCACAGACGTAGGTGTTGATAGTAATCCATTTGAAACTCATCCGAGTGTGGTATATGACATGACTGCACTAATTGGACCATGTCCTATAGCCATCATGCACCCACTCTATTCCTAGTGTCCTAGTGCAATCTGGCCTGGGTATTGGGCCTTTCACCTCAATAGTAACACCCATCCAACAAAGAAACAAAGTACAACACATCAGAAATAACAATATATGGAAAGCAATAAAATGCAGTGCATACATATGCCCAAATATATACAAATGAATAAACCATAAAAGAAATAATGATAAACACCCTAAGAAAAAAACGGGAGCTAGGATTGACTCACGAGATGGACCAGTAATTGGTCGACATTGTCCCCAGTGAAGTCGCCATTTTTCTGTAGCAATAAAATCAATGAAGTCGCCATCGAGTATTTATTTATCCCATATAAAAGGGAAAGGAAAATCATCGAAGAAAAATCTAAAGGTGGAAATCAAGGTCTTGCGACCGAGAGATTGGGTAAGGGAGTTGATTACACATGGGGAAGGTATTAGCACCCCACACGTCCATAGTACTCTACGGGATCCACTCTCGTTATTCTAATCAAAATGTGTGTTCAATCTAATGCTTAAGAGTTATAAACTAAGATGGAATGCATACAAAGAAAACACGGGGAAAAGAATGAAATATTTACAAATTTTCGCTCGGCTAAGCCTCGTGACCAGATGCCTACGTATCCCTTTTAAGGAATCAGAGCATTGTAGTTCGGCTCACATATTTTGTTTGTTTGTATTTTTTAATGAACAATATTAATCTCTCCTTCTGCCACAACTCGGCCTTTGGAGACTTACGCGTCGGCACGAAGTAACTTAACATGTCCTTTTGGAAACATTTTTGAAAGAAAATCCCAAGGGCAAAAGAGTTTGTGTTGGTTGGTGTTTTTTGCTGCAGATAACAGCTAGTTAATCTCAAGAGAGAGATATTAGCCATTTATCTACTTATTCATGAAGTAAGTCTTTGAGACTTGAACCACACCAAGTCTTAGAAAGGAGGAACAATAAGATCGAGAAGAAACTCGCTTATCATTTCCCATACTCAACAAAGGTATGACTCTCATCAGTAATCTTTAAGTGTCTTTAAGTTTGCAAGAAAAAGACGTTTTTGTTTTAATGCCAATGCAAAATGGGAAAGAAAAGTCTAAAGGGAGAATAACCTAAATCTAACCTAATGTTATCATACAATGAGTGATCCCATCTAGGTTAGCGTCCCAAGGAAAGTCTAACAAAACTATCTTATGGGGAACATACAATAAGAGTGAAGTCGTGATCTCAATTTCTAAATTGAGTGACTCATCGATCAATAAGAAATAAAGGAAAGCGATAAAATCCTATAGGGAGCATGCACTGAGAGCGAAGTCGTGATCTCAATTTCTAAATTGAGTAAATCATTGATCAACCACCAAGGAAACAAACACAAACACGACACATATAAAAAATGAAGCGCGAAATGCCTACTACAGGTCTTTAAACAGCGACTTTGAGCGCACGCTCTTTATTTCCTACTTCTCATGATATCTAGAAGGTGATAAATGCAGAAATATAACTTGGAAGCAGTATAATACCAAACGAACGATAATGTCCGCAAAAAGCGCAACAAAAGCAAAGAAACCCGGAATACTTCACGCGAGCTGGCATCAACAAACAAATAGTCAGAGATCGAATATTCGAAATAGGTGTCGAAGCATCATCGATGTGAAAATAAATCACAATCGGAAACTCAAACATGTCCGCATATCAAACAATGAACCTGCATAAGACTCAACTCAACAAGCAAAGGTGAATCGCAAGTCTCAAGTAATCAAAAAATTAGGAATTAATTTCCTAAACTCAAATAAAAAGCCTAATTTTTTTTATTGATTTTGTAGTTTCTTATAAAAAAAATCCTAAATTCTATTTATTTTTTATTGTTTTATTATATGTATATTTTTTATCACTATTTTTATTAAGAAAATTGGAAGAAACTTAAACTAAAAGAAAAGCTAAAAAAGATTAGAAAAGTCAGGGGGGGGGGGGGGGTAAGGATCAAGGGTACAATGTGGTGAACTAGGCGCTGAGACCATTCAATAAAAATCCCAGTGACATTTTTTTGTTCAATTATCCGTGCTCCAAAAAAATAGTAACAGGTTAAAAGGGGGGATATATACGTTGCGATAGCCCAGAGGAATGGTGTATATCCAGAAAAAACGCCAAGCCCACGTGGAGAATTTAGAATGGTGTTTTTCTTTGTACTTCAAATATTAATTGTGCAAAAAAGTGATGTTAATGGGCTTGTGGGAGAGTAACTCGGTCCAGATTTTTAATCCAATCCACAATATTTCTTATCAGATTCTTATTATGGATTTTCAAATTGAATTAAAATCACAACAAAGAGAAAATGAAAGGGGAAATTATAACGAAATTAGGGTTGAACGTGAGTGACGGTTCAACTTCTCATACAAGAACTTCCTCCTTTCTCTCAAACGCGAACATCGATGGACAACCTCCTCTTCTCCGGAGGTTTCTTCTGGCGACACCACGACCAACTCTGTTCTGACTCCGCCTCGATCGTAATTGACTCGCCATCATCATATTTGTTTCCGTTTCAACATCGCACTCAAGTTATGTCCGAGTACAACTTCATGGATCTCCGTCTTTTATCCTTCAACGCGCCTTTCATCTTTATCATCTCACCATCGTTCAACATTAATTATTACTAAACCACGTGAAGAACACAAATTGCAAACGAGCTCGCGATTGGATCTTCTTACTTCAATCCACTTAGACGGTGCAAAAAAAAAGGGAATAGATTAAAGATTGGGGGAATTTACGGGTTACCTACCAGAGAGAAGTCTGATGCTCCTTCAACAGTGATGCCGAAGTTGAGAAATCCAAAGAAAGCTCCACAAAAAGAATCAAGTATACACTTTTGCTTCGATCCTCCTTCTTCTGATTTTGAATCTTCTTCATATTTCTCTGAATCACTGTGTTTTTATTATGGTGATGATATGGTGTTGACACGTAGGCTGAAACATACTACTATGCGATATTCTTCATGGAAGCAGAATCTTGGTGCTGATATTGATTCGTTGATGTTGAATCAGTTGCAGCTGCGAACGCGTTTGCGATGATGAAGCAGAGATTGATGCAGTGATGATGATGTTTTATAGGGGAGAGGATTGAAGATGATGAAAGTAAAGATATTTTCCGAGAGAGAAAGAGGAATGATTTCCCTCCAATGGTTAGATGAGACTCTGTTATAGGAGTTAGTTGGAAGACGATTAGGTATTGTACTAGGTTGTTAGGCAGTTAGTTGTGAATGCAGTTAGAAGTTTACTTTCTACTTTGGTTGTTGTAGAAGTTTATTGTCAAATTGTTTTCTGTTAGTGAAGCTTGTTAGAGGTAATGAGATCTCAATCCTTGGCTCTCTAAATTCCAGTTATAGATTGATGGAGGAGATCGAAATTGATAGTAGTTAGTTTGGAAAATAGGGAGTTTAAAAGTTGGTTATTGGATTCTGTTAGTTAATTTGTGAACTGGGTTCTCTTGGAAGTAGATTAACTGAGCTGGAAAATTTGATAATATTCTGTTCTAAAAGTTGTTTACACCATCAGGCAAGTTAGTTGAAGAAAAGCTATTATGACCTGCTAGTTATTTTTTATTTATTTATCTTCTATTACAGTTAGTCGGTTAGAAAACAATTAAGAGGCTCAATTTGGATAGACAGTTTATTTTTGATTATGCAGGGTCCAATTTGGATTTTGTTTGGTTATTTGATATAGGCTGTTTAATGAAGTGCAAGGCTGAAATTATTGAATTTTCTAGACCGGTTTGGCTATCTTTGGCACATGGCGGGAGTTTATGGATATAGCAAGCAAAGTGGAGTTATGTTTGGAAGCACATATGGAACTGTTTTTTTGAAAGCTTAGAAACAATTTAGCATGGGTTTTGTAATGTCATTTTCTATGTGTCTCGATCATTTTAATGATGGTGATATTAACTTGTAATCGATCTTGAATGAACTTATATTTTAATTTCCGTTTTATGTAATCTTCCAAGAATGTAATGGAATGATGAACCTTTTCATTTTGTCTTACAAACTTGAATGACACTTGAAGTTTTGAACTTGACATGGATATTGGAAACTCTTGATTGAATGTTGAATTGCAAAGTGAATTTGAAATTTTGAATCTTGAATCAATATAATGCACCACTTTTGAAAAGAACCTTGAAGGAATCTTGCACAATTTGAACATAATTGAATGAGACTTGAATCAAACTTTGAATAATGTCTTGAAAATTGAATGAAGTTGAAATTGCCTCTTGAATAAAAGGACTTTGCTTGCAAAATCATGAGGAATGCCTTCTTTTAGAATGAGGAATTCTCTTGCTTTTTTGTAGCTTGAACTCAAACAATCTTTGTGAATAAACTTGAACTTGTACCCTGAATTTCAAGTAATCACTTGCATGCTTACACTCTCATTCTTGACTCATAGTCCTATATACATTGTCAAACATCTACATGTCAAGTTTCAAGACTCACAATGTCAAATTGCACAGTCAAAAGCTCTATTTGCTTCACAATCAACTGCAGGGGTAAAATGGTCATTTTACAGTCAAAGGTCGGAATTTTTGGTCAACATCTTATTTTGAGTACGCAATCATCATTTGATCAATTCTTGATCATGATTCCACAAGGATAGCTCAAAAATCATCAAGATGCAAAAAGTTACTATTTTTGAACAGCAGAAAAGTCAACTGTATCTTGACCAAGGCATAACTTTTTCATGGTTCATCAGAAAAATCCCATCCAATTCTCATTTTGAAGGGGATGACATTTCCTACAACTCATCTTCACATTCCAAGTCCAATAAATGCTCTCACAAAAAGTTATCAATTTCTACATTATAGGTCAATTTCAAAAGTCAACAAAAAGGCACTTTAAGTCAAAGACCATAACTTGAGATTGGTAAATCCAAATGACATGGGACCAAAGGTATTGGTTATAGGACTTCAAGATCTTTCCAAAATGTCCAAGAACATGCTCATATGATCAAAATTGAGCAAGATATGCATTGGAAAAGTTGGGAAATTTTTGTGAATTTGCAAAAGTCAACTTTGCCCAAAACACCTTATTTTTGCTAATGGGCCTCAAATTTCTTCTTGAAACTTTATCCAAGGCCTATGGACGACCCATCAAGCTTAAATTTATTTATTTTATTATTTTTTATTAATTAATTGGATTTTTAATTGATTTTAATTCATTTAATTAATTTAAAATGTAGGAAATACAAAGATATGGTTTTTTCAATCTTTTGTGAAGCAAACAAGCTCAAGACAAGCTGGAAAATTCGTGTGCACATCAAGGGGACAAGAATCTCCCAGTTTGGCAAGTTTTTCCAATCAAAAAGATTGAAAAATATTTGATTTTCAATCAAATATACAAACCATTATTCCATGGATTTCTTGTCAAGAATTTAACCTAATTCCGTTCTACTATAAGTACTCAAGCTAAACCTAATGCATTAGACGTGAAAATTGTTGCAGAAAAGGCCATAACCATATTGGAAAAAATCAAAGAAAACTCAAAACTGTTTTCCAGGTTCCAGCACGATTCAAAGCAATTGTTGGTTTCTAATACATTGCTGGAACTCTCAGGGACATATTGCAATCAAAACTAAGCCTTAAAGCTATCAAAATCGTCAAGAACAGTTTAACGGTTTGCGTTTTTTTTCTTCTAGAATTGAATTGCTTATCTCATGCATCATTAACATGATTTTGTGTTTGTTTTGTATTGCTTGAACTCATAGGAAGCTGATGGTGTGGTTTAATTGCATTATAATGCCCAGAATTGTAAAACGCCATTAACGAAATCTAGGGTTCTTGAGCTCTCAGATTAGGGCTTTATTACCCAGGCAAAATTGAGACCCCTAATGCATATGGTTGAACTCAGGAGACTCAGACGAACACAATGATATACTCGCGAAACATTTATGTTAAGCAGGGAGCTAATCGCTATTTTTCGTTGATGTAGGTTGTGGGGGTTAAAAACCCCCGCTATCTAATTTGTTTTTTTTTGCAGACATAAGGAAGAAGACAATACGTGTTAGCATATGGTTAGCCCATTCAAATAGCGCGCGTAATTTTTGTTTTGTCCAACATAATTGTTGTTTTTATATATTAATTTCATTGTTCATTATACTAACAAATGCAGGCGCATGGCTCAGTGGATAGTGAGGTGGCTGGTAATCATTGGGATCTAGGTTCGATTCCCAGGTCCACCCAAATAATTGTTTCTTATTTTTCTTAACAAGATCCTATGCAGGCTTCCAAAGGATGAACATCATGTCCCTCACGCCTCAGCATGCCAAGTGGCCACAACCATTAATCCAATGGTCAAGATGAGGGAACACCATACCCCAAGTCAAAGCTGCACGTGGACAATCCTCCAAAGTCAAACGTGGCTGGAGAATAATGGGCCTCAGATTGCCAAGCAGACCTCCATATTTGGCCCATCACCCCCTGGTTCTTTCATAATTTTCTTTTTATTTTCTTTTACTAATTATTATTATTAATTATTATTATTATTATTTAATTAACTCACATAATTATTTTTCATAATAAATTCAGATGACTAAAAAATGTAAATATTATTTATTTTTATTATTTATTAATTTCACTATTAATTATTATTTTGTAAATAAATACTAACAAATTAACTTAGTTTAATTAGGCTTAATTTTGACCTTTTTTTTTTACAATAAATAAAACAAATTTAGAATTAGGGTTTTCTTGGCTTTTAATTTCTTTTATTTTATTTTATTTTCATTAAGACCTAAAAAACATAAAAAAAATACTTTTTCTTTTAATTAAATAATTAATTAGTAAATTAGGTTTAATGTTAATTAATTGCAAAAGGGACCAAATTCCATTCTTTTCTCAAAAAGGGTCAAAACCCTAAGGACTTTTCCCGATTCAATTTCTTTGCGCGTATATTAATTTTTGATCATTATTTATGTATCTGTTCCGAGAATGTAATAGATAATTAGGGCTTTTATCGCTTTCTTTATTTTCTCGCATTTATTTTCAAGGGTTATGTTTTTGGCGATGTAAATACCCGACGCCTTGTAATAGCGTAGATTCACTTTCGGCAATTTATTTTCCGCAAATTATTAACTGTTAATTATGCATGACAAGACTTATCTTAAAATTAAAATCAATCGTAGCTCACCATAACATGTACAAAGATAACATTAATTGAAACCTGACACACTCGTACATGCCACTCATAGGGTACGCTTCACTTGGTTGCCTCGACGTGGTCATTGAGTATAGGGTGTTTTAGAGGTCGCCCTCCTGTCTAAAGATAAAAAAGTTGCCTCGAAACGGTTGCCTCGGATAAAAAAGGATCTAGGACATTAGGGTTACCGCTAATGTGTCCTACTATTGCTTTGGTGACCACATGTCCCTATAATCGAATTGACCCGACAAACTCCAACGACGGTGCTACCTACTTCTCAATAGTGGGATAGTACTGTCTAAAGGACATTTACACAGCTTAATTTCTTTGAGTAGGTAGAGGTTCTTAGATACTTGCTCTTTCAAAAGAAAAACAACTTTTCGCACCTACACTTTTCTGACAAAAGTTTTCAAACAACACTTCATACACTCTTGAGGACAGATACAAGAGTTAAATCGAAGTTTTCAAACAAAACTCTTTTTCAAACCCACAAACACAAGAAAAGCAAAAACATTTTGAAAACATAGTGAGCAAGTACCTAAGAGCCCGTGGATAACCACAGATAGAAAGGGTGATAACACCTTCCCTTTCTATAATCTACCTCCCGAACCGAGAGACATCTCGAAAAGGAATTTTGCTGTGCTTTTGTCCTTTCCTTGTTGGAGAAAATAAAAGACGGTGGCGACTCTTGCTTACCGCGACATTTCGCGAACCAGCATTCCAAAACAGTCAGTTCTATTTCCACCGATAACAGTTAGCATAAAGCAAACAAACTTTTCTAAAAACACAAACGCGAAAGCAACTTTAAAAATGAGCAAGTACCTAAGAGCCCGTGGAAAACCACAGATGGAAAGGGTGCTAACACCTTCCCTTTCCATAATCTACCCTCTT